TGGGAGAATAGAGATAGAATGAAGCAGAATGATGAAAAAGGGGTCCCTATGTCCTCCAGCAGTCTAAGCCTATAGCAGCATAACTATAGAGATAGATCAGGGAAAGATCATCTTCTGTCCCTTTAAATGTCAGAGATCTCCCCTCTTAGAAGAAGCTTCAGTTGTTTCTTTTTTCCAACTCAGAATATGATTATAGCTTCTGAAAACGTACCATTTGGATCTTTAATCATCATCATAGACTGAAGATGAGAAACAGGAGAGTTTCTGCTATCATGACCTGATCTGACCTGCCTCTGACTGGGTCAGGGTTCAGGTGAAGCACAGCTCATGCAAAACAGCCGTCAGAGTGAGAGGCCAAGCTGCACACGTTAATGAGAACCAATCAGTGGATCTGCATGTGTTTAAAACATACCTCCTCACATACAGAGCATCTAAATCAGACCTTACTTTGTTTTTGTTTCTTTCAGGTTCTTTCTTTTCCATATGTGGTCTTTATTTTATTTTTTGCTTGCTTTCCTAGAATCATAACATCTTAATTTGAACATTAACAAAGAAGCAAGACATTAAAATGAGTTAGAAAGGAAAACAAACGTTAAAAATGATCAAAAATCAAATCTAAAAATGCTAATATCAGTAAATATGTGTAATGATTATTAGACAGCTGGTCAGAAGTGTCACTTAAAATGTAGAGGTGAGGAAATACAGTCAGAAATGAGGGAACAACCGAATAAAAACATCAAAATAAACGAAAATAAGAAAGCAAATATGACCAGAAATACAATAAAACCAAATAAATGCAGGCAGATTTAAATCTAATGAACAGAAAACTTAAATTAGGGATGAAAATAAGGCATAGAAATGATGCGGTTTGTTAATAAAGTGAAAACAGAAGCTTTGACTTCAGGTTTCTGTTAGAAGAGCTCAGATACTGAGCTTCTCCTCCAGCCTGACGGTTGGGATCACATGGCTGCTCTTTGTCCTCAGGCTGAAGTCGCTCTTAGAGTGCAGGCATGTAAACAAATGAAGGTCCTCACAACGTGAGCAGGAAAAGGCAAAACACACTCTGACGGGGCCCCTGATTGGATCTCACACTGTTGCTATGGGATCTACGGCCCCGCCTCTGATTGGCCCGCCTCCAGACTCGGATTAGTCGCTCTCCTGTCATTCAGCATCCCTCTGTCGTCATGACAACAGACAGGAAGCAGGAGGAGATTGTTATTGTTGCAGCTGCCGGTCTGTGCAGCAGAAGAAGAAATTCCTGACGTTTTATTTTTTATTTTTAGTTCAGAGGATGATCCGACTGCAAACACAGGAGTGCATCCTTATCTGCAGAGAGGAATAGCTCCATGCCTCCGAACTCACACACTATCAGTCATGCTGCGGGTCACTGGGCTGCGACCTGCTAATCTGAGACAAGATGATTATTAAAATGACAAAAAGCGGATCAAAGCGTTCAGTTGGCGTGCAGCATGATGTCCGTGTTTCTCTCTACATCTGTCCTCAGTCGTCTCAGCGCCGTGCTGCTATTTTCATTCAGCAGCCCTGCATCCCTTCTCATGGCGGCTGCATTTGATGCAAAGCAAACAGCAAAACATTCGTATTTCAGAGGAATCTCGCAGTTTTGACTCCCAGATGTTTTTCTAAACAACCTTCCCTGCAGAAAACAGTTTTTCCTCTCTGTCAGACAGCAAGCCTCCCAGAGGAGCAAACATTACTCTATGTTTAAGGAGGGGAAAACACTTTACATAATGCATTATTATTTAATATTACTCATAAATTGAATTTAATACCTTTAGTTTTGCCATATCTTTTTGCTTCTTCATGTTTCAGGTTAATAAAACAGGTCAGGCTGTTAGCTAGGAATATTTCATAGGATGTCTGACATTGATGTATCACATCTATAGTCTATGTATGGGGGTGGGAGGTATCCTACCCCAGAAAATGTTGAAATTTAGACACTATTTTTATGGAGCTAAATCTGTCTAGATTTTCACAAATACACATATTTGATTCACACATGCACAGGACAAGATTCGCAAAAAGGTATTTCTGAAAAAATATTCATCCCACGTGGAATACTTTCTTGTGATTGGTTATGATTATACAAGGGAGCTCTGTGATTGGTTGCAAACCATCCTTGCTTAAAAAAACGCATTTGTGTATGCAGTGAATTTTAAAGACCACTGGTACTTATATTTATATTTGTTTATGGACCAGAAATACTTTGGCAAATCATGTGCTGTGCATGTGTGAATCTTGTATGCTTGTGTGAATCATACTGTGTGTGTGAAGTTTCAATCACTTGTGAAAATTGACACTGATTTAGCTCCATATATTTTCTGCATTTTGACGTGGAATGCAGTTTCTTTGTTCAAACATTACTTTTTTCCAATTATGCGAAGTTTATGTGCTTGATTAGAGGTGGAAGTTTCATTTTAGGTACAATATTATGTTTCATAGGTTAATTCAAACAATTAGAAAGTCTGATGCTACGTTTATGCCGCACTCCCTGATAAATTGAGTTGATAGACTGGAAGTTCTAATTTTTTTCTCCTCACCCATTGTTCTATTTTTTTCTGAAGTTTGTGGTTAAAGGTTGTTTCTTCATTTCTGCAGAATGAATCTAACTTCTTTATTAGACCTCTGCAATTATTTTCTATATTGCGATGCCTAAAACCAGACTTAAAACCAAAGGTGATCGAGCCTTTATGGCAGCGAGGCTCAGGAATAACTTGCCTTGGCATGTTAGATCAGCAGGCTCCTTTAAGGTTTTTAAATCCTCTTTAAAATCACATTTCTTCTCCCTGGCTTTTAATCTTGTCTAGGTGGACATTTGGCAACATTTTATTTTAAATTTTATTTTATTCTAAAATGTATTTTAATTGAAACATTTATCTTATTTTATTTTTATGTGTTGATGTACTTTAGCCTTCAGCTCTTATCTTATGTTCCTAAACTGTGATTCCTGTACAGCACTTTGGTCACTTTGGTTTTAAATGTGCTTTATAAATAAAGGTTGAGTTGAGTTGAATATTCTGAGTTTTTTAAGGTTAGCAGGTATTTATTTAGTGCGGATAAATCTGTTGCTCAGAGGTTCTGCCCAGACTAAGATAATTAACAGCGTAGGAAGTCTGTCTCTGTCTCTTATGCTACGTTCACAGCAGACGCGCTTTGAGCAGCAAAAAGCTTCTGCTGCTTCATTTCTGATGCTTGTCTACATGAAGCTCAGATGTCCATTAATGTGTGTTTAGATGCATCTGATGCTTCTGCTGCTCCTGTGTTCAATAAACTGTTTCAGAGGAGTGATCATAGCGCTCTGCATCAGCAGTGCTGTGTCTGTCTCCCTGCCAGCTCCCAGATCAGCTTCTCTGATTGGTTGATGCTGCGCGTCCAGCAGCTAAAGTTACATTTTTCCATCTCCACCATCTGCTTGTGAAATTTTGAACATGTGAGCAAAGTTTCCAGGGAAAATCATTCCAAAAACAGATCATACATGTTGTCATTTTTTTAGTAAAGGGCGTATTAATGTACGCCCGTACACATTGCTATCTGAAAGCCTGTAGGAGGTAGATTCTGCTCTCCCTCCTTAAACAGCATTCACTCTGCAGGCTGCTGGGATGCAGCAAAGCTAGAGATGGTTTGATCTAAATCTACATGTTTCAAATGAGGAGAGTGTGCATCAGCCACTTTCCAGTGAAAATGAATCCCGTTCACCATGGAAGGAGAAGTTTAGACCAGGCCATGTGCAGAAAAGCTTTGAAAGGTGATGTTTGGGTGAAATAGAGCTGAAACCGCGTCAGACCGGTTCCCGTCTCTCTCTGCAGGTCAGAACCTAAACCCCACCCCTCCTTTAAAAATGCACAGGGAGGGGGGTAGCTCGCCACGGGGGAAAGAGGAATAAAGAGACTTTCATGTTTGCTGAACAAACAGGTGGAAAAAAAGAACAATTTGTAACATGAATCCAGAAGGAAGCAGATGGAGGAATATCAGAGGGAAGCTGTTATATAAGCATGACCTCTGACCCAGAAACCTGGAAACTTTGGGAGAGAGATGGTGACGGCAGGAGATGAGGTGAAGGGTGGAGACCTGGACATGGCAGGAAGGTAGGAAAGGAGAGGAGGACTATGGAAGATCAAAGCAAACAATGGACTTGATAGTTCAAATAAAGCTTCATGTCAGAATTAAAGCCCAATATGATGTAAATAATCTTATTAATAAAATTACTTTTTTTGGTTTCTTTCTCCCGTTTTCTTCCACACATGAAGACAGGTTATCCCACCTGAGCTCTAAGCGCCTGCAGCTCTCCCAGAGCTTCCTCCCCTCAAACTGTGTGCGATTCTACCTGATATTAAATCTATTTGCTTCCTTCTTTCCGTTAAGTTTACAGTAACAGGAATCTTTACAGTTTCCTCCTGATTAAACCGTTTCTTCTCCTTCGTGTCTCTGCAGGTGAAGCCGCTCACCTGAGCACCGCTCCATAACCTCCCTTCTTCCTCACCTCCCACCCTCCTGTTCTGGTTGCCGCCCATTGCCATGACGACCACCCCGGAGACGATGCTGCTGCCTCCGGACCAGGGGCTGAGCCCCGAGCGGCTGGACGCCTGTGAGCGCGCTGACGGGCGCTACACGGTGGTCCCCTCCGTGGTCTGCTCCATGTGCTGCCTCTTTGGCATCATCTACTGTTTCTTTGGTGAGTGACGAAGAGGATGGAGGCGATGAAGGTCGGAACCCCGGGTTTGATTTCCTCTCACCTCGATTCCTGGCGTGTCATTTCAGGCTACCGCTGCTTCAAGGCGGTGATGTTCCTGACGGGCCTGATGTTCGGCTCCGTGGTCATCTTCATGCTCTGCTACAAGGAGCGCGTGCTGGACACCCAGCTGAGCGTGGAGGCCTCTGTTGGCATCGGGCTGGGCATCGGGACGCTCTGCGGCCTGGTCACCATGCTGGTTCGCAGCGTGGGCCTCTTCATGGTGGGCCTGCTGCTGGGCCTGCTGGTGGGCGTGGCCACGCTGGTGGGCATGGTGGAGCTTTCTGAGAACCCGTCGCGCTCCGTCTGGGTGCCCCTGGGCGTGCTGCTTGGGCTGGGCATGCTGTTCGCCGTGCTGACGCTGCAGTGGCAGCGCCTCTTCACCACCATGTCCACGGCCGTGTTTGGTGCTGCCGTCATCACTGTGGCGTTGGACTACTTCGTGGAGCTCTTTGCGCTCATGTTTTACTTTTATGAGCGGATTAAGGTGGAGCCGGGGAAGCCGGTGTGCTGGATGACGTGGTTGGTGCTGGGAGTGTGGCCCTCCCTCACCCTGCTGGGGGTCATAGTGCAGTGGAAGGTGACTGCTGAGGGATACTCCCACACCAAAGGTGAGATCATCAGAAATGTTCAGTGGCTTCCTGCAATTAAAACCTCCTTCGCAATGAGAATTATTCAAAGTAAATCCGTCGTAAATTCCCGCTTTAAATCACGATGAAACTGTCAAGTAGGCAGCAGCCTGACAAAGCCATGATGGCAATTATGTTACAGCCAGTTAATATGCAGTTCTTCATATATAGACACATCGATTTCAAATAGATGGTATCAGCCGATACTGCACAGCCAGGTATCGGGGCCAAAAATGGCATCAGCGCAACACTAAAACCGATACTACTAACCAGTTATTGTGCATTCCACTTTTGTACAATCATCAATACTTTTGACTGATGGGGGGATAAGAAGAAATACACAACCCAAGTAAAAAAAGGTCGGGAAACACTGCATTAGATGAAAGATTTAATTCATGTACTAACTTCTACAACTACAATATCTTACATCAGACCAATAAAACAGGTTGTTTTCCGAATGAATGTATGTCTCCTCGGTAACCGTCCGATTTCCTTCCCAGTAATCATCAGCCGGCAGCAGAGGAGGATGCAGGTGATGCGAATTCGTCAGCGAGACGACCGCTACCGCAACAAGAAGAAGAAAAAGCAGCAACAAGGCTCCTCCCACCATAACCAGGCCAAGCAGCTCAATGCAGAGCCCGCCTACCGCCGCAAGCCCAACCCCATCCGCCGCTACGACACCGACGTCCTGTCGCCGGTAGCCACCATTAGAGACGTTGCCTTTTTTGGTCGACTTAACTTAAAAATGTGAAAATTCTGCGTTTCTAAAGCTGTTGTTTTTGTTGTTTTTTTGTGCAGAGTTACATCCAGAGTTTCCGGGACCGGCAGGTTCAGGCGCAGCCCTTCCCGGGCCGACTGGTGGGAGGCTCTCACGCTGTGGTGGAGATGGGCTACGACTGCGGCTCCACGACGCCGCTCACCGGGGCAGCAGGTCCTCCTCTACGAGCCTGACCAATCCTCCACCTCCCAGAGGTTTGATCAGGGAGGCAGCTGACTCTACAATCACTAAACTAACCACAGGATTGGAAATGCAACCACCTTAGATTTAGCCACTTACCTAACAAGAAGAATTCCCCTGCACACATTAAATCCTTACTGGTTCATTAACCTCAGCTGGCTGTGGTCACTATGGTACATATGATGAATTAACCGCATCTTTTTTAAGACAAAATGCACAAAAAAATACATAAAAACACTGAAAACAAACATACTTTGCATCTAAAACCCTGAAGAATGACCTGAAGGAGCCGACTGAACCGATTCTCTGAGATTTCTGGTAGTTTCAATGCAAAACCAGCTCAGGTTCTAACATAAGACCAACCTAAACCCAACTCTGCTTCATTGTTCTGTCTTTCTACCGACGCTGGAGGAGCAACCAGCTTCTCAACCTCTTTATTGCATCAGTTAAAGGACAGCTAAACACAACTGGAAACACTTTCTGTGCCATCTGGAACACAACAACCCTCTTTAAAACCAGAAGAGACATCTTTTCTTTACTTTTATGTCGGGGGAACCCTTTGTCACCCTTGGTGCTGGACAGTAATCTTCTACAAGTGTCAAACTGCTCTCAGAAAACCGGGGAATCTCTTTAAATGGGTGCCTCGCCTCCTGGGACTGCAGGGTTCAGCCAGCAGGAGGTTCTCAATGGGAGGTTCCCCTTCAATGTTTTGTTGAACGGAGACGGTAGCCATGGCTACGCCAAACAGGGTTTAAGTAGCTTTGCTGTCTTCATGACTGCAGAGAGAAACTACAGAGTTTTATTTACACTGGCACCTCCAGCGCATGTGGAAAATATGGATCCTTGTTTTTCTACTTGAAATATTTAGAAACTGAAATGGTCTGAATAGAAATATAACAACAATGACCCACATTTTTGTTTGGCTCCATAACTGATTGTTCTAGTTGACGTTTTTTAGGTTTGTTTCCACTGTTGGACCAGAACCAGTGGTAGAGTTACTCCCCAGAAACACACTAATAAGTAATATGATAACGGTACTAAAACATCTCTTCCAGTAAACGCTGAATTTTGACCTTTTATTTAGGACCAGATGATTTATAAACACTGGTTTTCATCAGTTAGCATTTCAGTTCCTTCCCTTTTATAACCAGGGAGACACGCAGGAAATAAAATAACATTTTCCATAAGGATTTATAAACACCAGCTTGAGATTTTAAAGGGGCTGACAGTGTTTATAAATTCAGCCATAGATTGTGATTACAGCCTAAACGGTACAATGAAAAATCATGTTAAGATCAGTGAGAAATGTTTGATTTTTTCTATTTCAGAAAAGTTTTTTAGTTTGCATTTATTGGTAATAATGATTCCCATTTATGTGTCTTTATGCGGATTAGCTTTTAATGCAGGCTGCTACTGTTAGCCAAGATAGCCAACCAGGAAAGTCAATGAGCAACTCAAAAAGTTAGATTTTTATAAAACGAAGAATAATTTTATTCTGAAAAAATTGATTGACAGATGACCGTTGATATATGATTGGCCGAATTTAGGTGTTCAGGCTGACGTAGAACTAACTGGCCTGCAGAAGATAAAGAAAAAAAAAAACAAAAACAGATTTTAAGACAGGATTTAAAAAAAAAAATAGAAATTTTCTAACTTTTGGAACAATATGATCTGATAAAGAGTATGTTTATTTACACGTTTAAACCTGAATGATTTAAAATTTAAATATGACTTCCCTACAACTTTAAGAAGGAACTATAACAGTTACCATAGCGACTATAACGACTCCCCTTTGCAGAGACATAGGCCAGTATCGGGTATTGCAGGCTAACAAAGAACCCAAACAACTCCCCATTAACCTGTTCTTTAGGTTCAATTCGGATGGGAAGCGAAACATCTTCAAACTTGGAAAACAAAGTTTAGTGCAAACAAAGTAAAAGCATAAATGACCTTTTAAAAATAACGTAAAATTAGCTGTTTGCATAAAAAACTGCCTCTTGATTTTAAACCCAGATGGAGGTGCCAGTGTAAATGAACTGAACCGGACTAGCAGCCATCTAAACTTGTACTTAGACCAATTCTTCGATCATGTGCATCGGTTTTTCTTAATTCAGGACGATGTAACATCTTTCTCTGTAGTAAAAAAAAAAATGTGAATATTCTTAAACGTCTTGACCTTTTTTTTTTAAAGGAAAAAGCAAAACAATCAGCTGTACAGGGAGAGGTGAATGGCTGCTATGTTCTTATTTGTCTGTGAGAAGCTGAAATGCATGAAGCGGATTCCTGGGTCACACGCCGCCATCCGCGCTGCTCCGTGTAAAATCTGTACATAAAACACAGCACTTACTTTTTTTAATGTTTTAAGTTGGATCAATACATGCTTTTTTTCCAGTGGGATGTATTTATTTGATGTTTTTATTTATTTTCTGAGATGTTTTAGCAGGGTTTTATTTAATCTCTGTCGGCCGGCGACATCATGCTTTTTTAAAAACAGCTATGATCATTAAAGCATGTGCTCCTATTGGCCAGTACGCCGCTGCTGTGTTGGACTGATCTTTCTGAAGACCGTCAAACATTCATGATAATTGATGATACATGGTTGATGATACCTGCATTTTGTTTCCCAAAAAAGCAACTTTTAAAGACTTATATACAGACGTAAGCTTCTATAACATAAGAAAATGCAAAAAAAAGTTTTTAGATTTAAGAAAATTGAATTTTTTTCTTTGCAAAATTCAAATCTGAAATGTTAAATGTAATCTACATAAAAGTTCATTTTAAAGGATGTTTTAATTTTATTATACAGTATCAAAATCTTATTTTTTTTTCCACTATGGAGGACCAAAGGTATCAAAATTCAGAACATAAATATGTCCTCAAAAATACACTTTCACAAGAAATTTTATATATCTAAATTTATCCGATTATTTTTTTATTAATTGATTTAGTTTGTTTTTAATTAAATATATATTTAACTTTAACAGTAAAATTAAACATACATATTTGGATAATTAGTTTTATTTCATTGATCTTTTTAAGTAGATCAGTTTGCTTTTACCTTTAAGCCAAGGAAAGTGGGCGGGGCTAATACTGCACTATGTAAACTAATTAATTTGTTGTTAACCAATCAGAGGTTAGATTTCAGGATATAAATCTGTTTTACTGTTGAGATTATTTCACAATAGCACAGAAAAGATATATATGTATATATAAAAGAAATCCTAAACATAGAAATAAATCAAATTTTAATGAATAATTTAGACATTTGATACGAAAACTGTCAAATTAAAAATTCAAAGATATATTCGTACATTAATAGATTATATGATCTAATAAAGAAAATACAGTTTCATTAAAACATATTTAACGAGCTGAATTGTGGCTCTTCTGGTGCTCCGTAATTTGCTATCAATAGTTGCCCGTTTAATTGGACTGAACTTTGTTTTAAGGGTTTTTGCTGAATAAAACTTATTCGTAACTAGACCAATTACAAGACCCCCAGTCTCACCGAAATGTTTAATCTGATAAAAAGCATATATAAAAACAGTATTAAGTAATAGTATAGAAGAAAAGCTGTTCCATGCATACTTTCTAAACTCATTCAGTTTATTCTTAAACTCATCTCCATCTTCTCCTTCAATCCCTTAAACCTTTTTGCATAATATTTCTGCAGAGATACCATCTGCATGACACATTAGTTAAACTTTCTGACATGCTAATTAAAAATCTATCCCATAATGAAAGGCAAAGACTGCTGAATGCGTGGAAAGTGTGAGGTTTCTGTAACCTAGCATAAGTTGCAGAGCAGCGGCAGCAGCGACTCATTCAACAGGTCATCTATCAATCTGCTGCAAACATGGTGAGCAAAGTTAAGTCATTTTACTTTATGATGAAATCAGGCTGTGTGAAGAGTCTTTTTTTTCGTTGTTTAATTTTTATTTGCACATCTTTGTTTCAGTAATTTCAGGCTGCTGTGGAGCGTCTTCTTGTCTTTTTGTCCTCTTCAGGTCCTCACATGATGTCCTGCTGTTGCTGCGTCGACTCACTGACCACCTGAGGACAGAAACACAAGCTGAGCTAAATATTCCTTTCCTTCACTAAGGAGGAGCTGCTCCTTGCAGCCTGTTGTTAGAGGCCAACCTCTGAGGAATAAAACATGCAGATGGTGCGATCTGAGGGGCCCGGTTGGGGGCCGATGATTTAGACTGCTATTATTACCAATTCTTTTCATCCACCTTGCCTTTCCTTAATGCTGTATTACATTACTTATTTACCTACTCAAATTAAGGGTAAATACACTTATTTTAAGACATTTTCATTTCTAGATCGTTTGTCCAGTGGATTCATCCCAAGCAGCTAAGCTTCTCTGTTCACACTGGAAAAACGATCTAGAAATAGGTAAACATTTCTTAAATTAAGTGTATTTACCCTTAATTTGAGCAGGTAAATGAGATGATTTGCCAATGGAATGAGTGTTTTTACCCTTAAAATAAAATAATTAGATAAAATGCACTAGAAATAAGACAACGCCATTGTGTTTTTTTATTTTAAATGAAAATTGTCTTCCGTTGGCAAAGTGTCTGTTTTACCTCCTCAATCCAAGAATAAATGCACTTATTATAGGAAAAAATGACTTCTAGATTTCAATTTTTTTTCCTTGTTTTACTACTTTTCATTCTTTTAAAACTTCCCATCATGACCAAGCAAAGTAACAGGAAAGTGTTTCTCCAATTTCTGATGTTTGGACAGTGGCAGAAGGGAAGTGAGGTCTGCAGAGGTGAAAGAACGCAGCTATAAAGTGGAAAAAATCAAATAAGCTTAATTAGGCCCGAGCAGCAAAAGCTGCGAGAGCCTATTGTATCTGTACTGTTTCTTATTATTATTATTTTCTAACTTTGAACGCATTTTAAGGGGACTTAGCATATTCAAAAACTCAGGAAAATGTGGCAGTAAATTGCCCCCTGCGTGAAATAGCATGTCTGTAATGGAATCCAAAATGGCCGCCCCCAAATTACTCCACAGCGCCCCTTAACGTGAGTTGGGGGAAAACCGTTAGTCACAGAGATTTGAAAATTGGAACACAGGTAGATCTCCTCAAGTCATGAAAAAAAGTCTCTTGGAGGTATGCCCTAAAACCCACAGGAAGTCGGCCATTTTGGGTCAAAGTGCAATTTTTGGCCATTTTTCCATTCAAGCTTAATTCAAGAAATTTTGACTTATTTCTAGGTCTTTCTTTTCCAGTGTAATGCTGCAATTGAAAAATTTTCTTAAAATAACTGCTTTTGTTCTTGAATTGAGGAGATAAGAGACATTTTGCCAATAAGACAAGACAACAATATTTAAAATAAGAAAAAACAATTGCATTGTCTTGTTTCAAGTGTATATTATCGAATTATCTTATTTTAAGATTAAAAATACTCATTCCATTGGCAAACTATCTCACTTTCCTATTGAAATTAATGGTAAATACACTTAATTTAAAACATTTGTACTTATTTCTAGATCATTTTTCCAGTGTAATGCTGTGTTGCACTTGGTGGATGCTAACAAAGCTACATTCTGGTTCCAGAATCAGGAGACACTGAGAAACACTGCATGAGACATAGCTGTTTAGGACACAGCACAGAGGAGGGAATACAAAACAGATCTAAAATAGCCTCTGTGGGAAAAAAAAAGAAAGATGTTGCAGCAATATTATGCACAACAAGGAGGATGGACTCAGTAACATTCCTCTGTTTTGATGCAGTGAGAAGCTGCTCACATCAGTGATCCAGCCGCTATGCTGAAGGTATGCTTAATGAGTGATGTAAGAGAAACAGACCGAACCCTGCTGCAGACTTTATGCACAATGCTAAGAAACAAGACCTGTGCTGTAATCCTCAGGAGGATTTCTAGATTACAGAAAAGGATGTCAAAGGGAAGGAAAATATCAATGGTAATAGAAAGATGCATTATTGGAAAATGTCTTCAGATATAATTTATTCTCCCGAGCTTATGATAGAATGATTAGAAAACAAGGAAACTGTGTCAGAAGGAACAGAACATTCCAAACGTTCCCGCTTGTCCCAACATGTCTGGGACGTCGTTCTCCCCGGAACCTAAGAGGTGCTGCGTGCTTCCCATCAGGTGGGACAGGAATGTCTCTCATGCTTGTTGCTACACGTGCTGGGCCGTTTATCCCAGGGGGAAATATCGTGTGAGGAGGTGATTTAAAACACTGACAAAAACAAAAAAACAAGACCTCTATGTTCCACTGATAACTGAAATATTTCCCTTTGATCAGAATCGGAGGGAAAGAGGATAAGTTTAGGCTTGTAGAGCAGAATTAACTGAAAATCAACAGGAAGAAGAGATTTAAGTTGAGATCTGGGCTTTGACTAGACCCAGGGCCTTTCCTGTCACTTCCCTGCCAGTCAGATGTTACCCTCTGTAAAATGTACACTGCAAAAAGTTGAAATCTTCCTTTTTTTTCTTGCAATAAGTGCATTTTCTCTTGAATTGAGGAGGTAGGTGAGACACTTTGCCGATGAAAAAAGACAATTTACATTTCAAATAAAAAACAATTGCATTGTCTTATTTCAGGTGGATATTATCTAATTATTTTTATTTTAAGAGTAAAAATACTAATAAGGGTAAGAACTAACCAGGAAATAAATTAATTATAGAATTAAAAATAGAACATCACTCCCAAATGTTTCCTCTAGTTCCTACTTAACTCAAAAAAACGATCCAGAAATAAATAAAGATTTCTCTAAATTAAGTGTATTTACCCTTAAATGTTAATACGATGATTTGCCAATGGAATTAGTATTTTCTACTTTAAAATAAGATAAGATAAAATAAGATGAAATACACTCTAAATAAGACAATGCGACTAATTTTTAAAATTTATTTTAAATGTAATAAATGACTTATTTAGATTGCTATTTTTTGCAGTGTCTACACTGGGAAAAAATCGAAATCTAGATCAGTAATTTTTGCAGGTTATCTTATTATCTACTTATTATTATACTTATCTAAAATAAGTATCTTATTTTCAAAATAAAAATCCTTATTTCATTGGCAAATCATCTTATTTATTTACTAAAATTAAGGGTAAATACACTTAATTTAAGACATTTTTACTTATTTCTAGATTGTTTTTCCAGTGTATGCATTCATCCACAGTTACACTGGAAAAATTATCTAGAAATAAGTAAAAATGTCTTAAATTAAAGTTAAACTTAAAGTAAAAATTTTATTAATTTTAGTGTATTTATAATTTTACTACATTTACCGGTAAGTAAATGAGACAGAAACTGCTAAACAGCTAAAGCTGTTGAAGTTTAATGTAAAACGTCTCCTTATTGCCTTTGATGGGGAAAAATGTCTGTTATTAAGGGTAATGTTTTACCTCTCCATCTCGGGTCTCAATGGTCTTGATCAGGACTGTTTTCTTTGAGTGCATCTCAGAGGAGCGCTGCTGGTGTTCTGGGTTTGTCTCTGATCCAACAAAACAGAACATGTCAGCAAATCATAGCCATTTTTTACCTTCTTTAACAAACTGGTTATATAAAATTGTCTAGTGAATAGAATGCATCCTCTGGTGGTGCTTTCAGGGTCTCGCAGTGGAGTCCATACCTCTGAAAGTCAGGGTGGAGTAGCTTTGCATCGGCAGGGCGATCCTGGATGAAGGAACAGGAGTCAGAACGGCGGCGATCCTTAAAGAAGAAGGAAAAGTCTGCATTGCTAAAACTTTACCTGCTCTCCTCCCCTTCCAGCAGCTTCCTGTAGGTGGCGATCTCCACGTCCAGGGCCATCTTTACGTTGAGAAGGTCCTGGTACTCCCGGAGGTGGCGTGCCATCTCGTCCTTCATGTTTGCAATCTCAGCCTCCAGCCTCGCTATGGTGTCCTGGAAGTTTCCGGCCTCGCGTCCATGGCGGTCCTCCATGTCTCTCATCTGCCTCATCAGGGACTCATTCTGGAGTTTGAAGAGACAGCAGCCATATTGGGGTCACAGCCTGATTCCTCTAACTTTTGAGGTACTGTATTAACCTAGAGGTCACTGCCTTTGAACTTGTAGGTTTATTTTCCTGATGTCATTGAAAAATACGGCAAGATTTTATGAAATACTAAAGCCATTAAGCCCGGTTGGCCCGATACAGGGCCCAACTGACGCCTGTTCATGTTTATTTATAGAATTTGCCAAAACACAGTCACATGGTGTTTCCTCCCTACTCCTTTCAAATGGGGCTTTAAAATTTCTAAAACTTGTCTCAAAATAATTTTTTCACAAGTAGTTTTAGTTTTATAGTTGTGTAAACAAATTAAATGAGGTTTAAAATTCCACCTGACATGTTTGACTTTGTGGGAGTAATGCAGCAGCAGGTATTCTTCTTTAGCCCCGCCCCCTAATGGCCGCCATCATTGGAAACTAGAGGCTCAGATCTTTCCAAGGAGGGGTCAGAGGTCATTGTGCGACCATTTCAGACGATGTAACCAGCATGCTCTACATAAGTTATTCTTATTTTCTATTAAGTTTAGTGATATATTGGTAAATTTCAATTAACTAAAGGCTAAATCTTGGGAGCAAAAGCTTTGTCTTTTGAAAAAGGTCTCCAATAATGTAAATCAGTATATTTTTCTGAGTAGATTCCCTTTTATAAGTGGAAAAATTTACTTTTGGCATTATGCAAAAATCACATTTCCAGCTAACACCCTGCCCACTAAAACTTTTGTGGAACCAACATGATTCAACTTATTCAGTCCAAATTTGCTTTACATATACAGGTGCTGGTCATAAAATTAGAATATCATGAAAAAGTAGATTGATTTCAGTAATTCCATTTAAAAAGTGAAA